CGGACATCCTTAGCGCTACTGCAGAGGCTGGAGAGGCTCCCGCCACCACCGCTGCACTCGCCAGCCGTGAACCCGACTTCTGGCTGAGCAGCGTTCCCCCTGTGGGAGCACACTGACCACCAGGAGCAGCTCCTGCATTGAGCAGGATCAGGCTGAAACCGGCTCTCTTGCAGGCCAGGCCAAGGGACCCCACTAGTGCATGATCAGGGTCGGGGAGGGATGCGGGAGGTTGGCCAGCCAGGGAGGGACCACAGGAGGGCTCCAGGGCATGTCTAGCCTGTCTTGCTCAGTCCCGATTGGCTGGACCCCAGCAGCAAGCTAACCTACCAGTCGGAGTGTCTGCCCTCTGGTGGTCAGTGCATGTCATAGCGAGTGGTTGAGCAGCCTTAGCATATCATTAGCATATTATGCTTTGATTGGTTGAACAGAGACCAGACACTTAGCATATTAGGCTTTTATTGTATAGAATAATTATACCAAGAATTATTGTTATTATTTTCGTTGTTACTAGTTTAAGTTGGAGGAGGTGCCTGCCCAGGCCTCAGGGGTCAGGGAAGGCTTACTGGAGGAAGTGCCAGGTAAGCTGCCACCTACACCATGAGCAGGCATCGGCAGTAAGGAGGAAGGGGGAGAAAGGCATTACAGGCAGGGGAACAGCATGTGCAAAGGCTCAGAGGCAAGGGACTTCAAGTTTAGTCAGGCTGGGGGTTGAGCTGGTCTCAGGCTATACATTCCAAGCTCTTCTTGGAGGACGTGTCCCAGCTGCCCCCCGGTTCTTGGCAGGACGAGGCCGTGGAACGCTGCAGCCACCCGGAGCCGCCCTGCGAACACTTTGGACAGAGGATCCTGGTCAAGTGTCTGTCACTTAAGTGAGTGTGCTCGCCTGCCCCCGTTCAGACATGCAAGGGGAACAGACAGCTAGATCACGGTGTGGCACACACTCGGTGCTCACTGCGAGAGCCGTGCCATTACCGTGTGCAGCCATGGGACCCGTGAGGCCATGGGCCTTTAGGCGGGAAATAAGACTTCCGTTTCCATTACTCAAAGCCACCAATCCTTAAGTGTGTGTACCAGGCTCTGTTCTCAGCCCATCCACGTACATTCACTCCGATCTTCACTAAACCTTGTGAAGTGGACACAAGTGGGGAAGCCAAAGCACAGAGTGACGAAGTCCCTGCGCCAAAATCACACAATCTGGGAGGCCAGAGGCCAGCACGCTCCCACTCTGTTGGCGGGACCCAGGTGGACGGGCGCTGGTGACGCTGGGGCTGGAGGCCCCCTCCACGGTCGCCCCCTGGGGAGCAGCCAAAAATGCGTGGGAACTGAGCTGAACAGGATGTGGCCTTGGACCTGAGCCTGGCCCTGCCCCTTCCCACCCTGAGTTCCTGTTGGCCAGGGACAGGAAAGAGAGGCCTGGTCTGGCTGGAGGCCCGGGTGGGCCGCCCGCCCCAAGCGCAAGGGTTGGGAATTGGCTCTGTGGGCTCATCCAGTCATTCAACACTCATTGAGTGCCTACTGTATACAGAGCATGTAATCGTGGGATGACCATACAGCACACACAAAGGAAGGGAGACATCTGGAGAGGGAAAAATGAGACCAAGAGGTGTGGCAGGGCTGGGCCATGCAGGAATTTGTTGTCAGGGAGCCTCACAATTTAAGTTCTAAGATGCTTCCTTAGAAGGTAGCTGGTGCCTAGGGGCCAGCAAGGCAGAGCAAGGGAGGGAGGCGGTTACAGTGGCCATTCAGGTGAGCGAAAATGGGACTCAGCCCAGGGTGGCACAGGTGACAAAGGACACCCCAGAGAGGGGAGACAGGGAGACCCGGGAGTCGAGAATGTAATTTGGGGGAGAGGGAATTGTTGTGCCCAAAGCTACCTCTCTACAAACTGAACAAGAGCCATGATTTTGGGGGGAGGGGTTTTGTGTGGGTTACTTACTGACGGGAGTGGGGAGGGGGGGGTAGAATCAGTGCCTCAGTTTCCTCTTGCGAAATGGGACAGGCCTTTCCTGCAAGCCCTTAAAGGGCAGTTCGTGTGGCTCAGTGGGAATTAGATGCCCCCCAAGGCTGCACCAAGGTGGGCGGGGCCTCAAGAGGGAGTCGGGGGTGTGGACGGCGGGAGTGTGGCAGGAACAGCCTGTGCCAGATCGCCCCCTCACCCACAGGTTCGAGATCGAGATTGAGCCCATCTTTGGCATCTTGGCCCTGTACGATGTGCGGGAGAAGAAGAAGGTAGGCGCCCCTTTCTTCCCCTTCCTGCCTCACTGCCCTCCTCGTTGCAAGGCTGTGGGCTTCCTGGAGGTGGTGACCCAGCTGCCTCTTGTGCCCCCAGATCTCGGAGAACTTCTACTTTGACCTGAACTCAGACTCTGTGAAGGGATTGCTGCGGGCCCATGGCACTCACCCGGCTATTTCCACCCTGGCCCGCTCTGCCATCTTCTCTGTGACCTATCCCTCGCCCGACATCTTCCTGGTCATCAAGGTGCCCACTGGGGCTGGGCAAGGAAGGGGTGGTAATGGTGATGTCACAGGCTCAGTCCCTACGGTCATGGAAGAACACAGACATGAGGAAGGATGATCAGGCCTCTTGTAGGGGAAGCTCAGGCAGTGGGGCAAGCCTGGAGGAGGCTCCTGACCCAACCCAGGTGAAGAGAAATCCCTGAGGGCTTCCATGGAGAGGTGACAGCTGAGCCAACACCCATGAGTGAGCAGCCTGTAGAGAAATGGCATCCTGGCCTAGGGGGACAGATGTTTAAAAATATATGTATGTATTTCTCATTTAAATTTGAGAGAGAGAGAGAGACATCGATTTGTTATTTCGCCTGTTAATTCATTCACTGGTTGATTCTTGTATGTGCCTGACTGGGGATAGAACCCACCATCTTAGTGTATCGGGACAATGCTCTAACCAACTGAGCTGCCTGGCCAGGGCCTAAAACATGTTTTTTAGTTGAGAATTTTTCAGTTTATTAGAGAAAAGACCTAATGGGCACATTTATTTGGGATATTGTTTCCAGGAGTGAGTTTAAATTTCCTTTCCCAAAGCATTCAGTTAGGTTACACGAATGACGTTACCTGAGCACCAATGGATAGGGACGGCTCACCGAGAGTCAGGCTTCACAGGGATTCCCCCCTGAGTCCTCACAGCAGCCCTGGGAGGTGGGGGTTGCCATGGCCCCATTTTACAGGTGGGGAAACTGAGGCACGGAGCAGGTGAGGGACCTGCTCAGGATCCCACAGCCCAGAGTGGTCAGGATTGAAGTCCAGTTCTTGTCACCCAGAGCCACGCTTGGAGTGGCCTCTGTTCCTACTGACAAGGAATTGTAGATGCAGGGAAATAGGGAGCCTTGGCTTTGGGGTGGGTTCAAAGGTGGGTGGGGGCAGCTGGCCAGGCAAGGGGGCTGCTAGCACTCAACCCCGAGGACAGTGGGAGCCATGGGAGGTGTTGGAGCAAGAGCTCTAGTGGATGGGTGTCTGGGGGCTCACGAGAGGCCCAGGAGGTTGGGGGTGTGGTGGGGAGGTCAGGCTCCCGCAGCTCCTCACTGGGCCTGCCTGCCCCTCAGCTGGAGAAGGTATTACAGCAGGGAGACATCAGCGAGTGCTGTGAGCCCTACATGGTGATGAAGGAGGTGGACACAGCCAAGGTAAGCGGTGGAGGCTGGACCTGGTGGTGAACGTCCCGCCCCCCTCACCCCCCACCCCAACCTTGCATTCAGCAGGCCTGGGGCACTGAGCTTGTGGGTCTCGGAGGGTCTCCCCACAGAACAAAGAGAAGCTGGAGAAGCTTCGCCTCGCGGCCGAGCAGTTCTGCACCCGCCTGGGCCGCTACCGAATGCCATTTGCCTGGACGGCCGTGCACTTAGCCAACATCGTGAGCAGCGCTGGGCAGCCAGACCGGGACTCCGACTCCGAGGGCGGTGAGAAGGCGGGGCTGGTGGCCCGGGGGCGGGGCTACTGGGGGAAGGAAGGGGCGCCCTCTGCTGGCCGGACTCTGTACAGGCTAAGTCTCCAAGTTTCTCCTTCCCTGCCTCTCACCCCTGTCCCCCTCCATCCATCACCGTCACTGCTGCCCCTAGAGCGCCGACCCGCCTGGACTGACCGCCGCCGTCGGGGGCCCCCAGATCGGACGAGTAGCGGGGATGACACCTGCAGCTTCTCCAGTTTCCGCCCGGCCACACTAACTGTCACCAACTTCTTTAAACAGGTGTCATAGCCACAGGGGAGGGGGCGAGGGGAGGGGCGCCGAGGGACACCCCCGTGGTCGCACAGGCCCCGGGGGACCCGGCTCATGGATGCGGGTCTGGTGCAGGAGGCCGAGAGGCTCAGTGATGAGGACCTCTTCAAGTTCCTGGCTGACATGCGGCGCCCGTCGTCCTTGCTACGGCGTCTGCGGCCTGTGACCGGTGCGTGCTGCACCCCATAAGCAAGAGGTGTCACTCAGCAAACCCTGACCACCCGCTGTGTCTGACCCTGGGGGCTCCACAGGGACCATGATAGACAAATCCCCAGCTTCAGAGGCTGGACCTTCCAGTGGGGCCACAGATTAGAAACAATAAATAAGGCAGATATTGGGCCAATTGGGGGATGTAGTGGCTGGGGGGCCATGGATCCCGAGGGCAGAGCTGATCCAATGTGGGGACAAGAGGTGGGAGTTGAGGGTGACTTCTGGCCTTGATACCTGAAGGACAGCCACCAGAGGGCATTGTGGGGGAGTTTGAGCTGGGACCCCAAAGTCCAGAGAGGGTGGGGCCTGGCTCGGAGGCTCCTAGGCAGGTGCAAACTGGCTCCCCTCCCCAGCCCAGCTCAAGATCGACATTTCCCCGGCCCCCGAGAACCCCCACTTCTGCCTGTCCCCGGAGCTGCTTCATGTCAAGCCCTACCCAGACCCCAGGGGCCGGCCCACCAAGGAGATCCTGGAGTTTCCCACCCGTGAGGTCTACGCCCCCCACACAAGCTACAGGTACAGCTCTGGGGCCCAGTTGGGCACTTGAATGGGGGGCATTCAGGCATCATGCAAAGTGAGGCCCCCTTTGTCCCAGACACACACAGACACTCGGAGTGAGATGCCACTGTTGCTTTAATGGGTATGTAGGCATGAAGGGACACATGTCTTTCCTTCACTCCTCCTCCGTGGGGCCGTGTCTTCTGTCTTCGCCCCCACCTGCTTCTGTCTCTGATCCAGGGCCGGAAGCGGGGCCCGACAGCCTGGCTGACCCCAGCAGACAGGCAGCTCCTCACTGTGCAGGGGCCGCATGGGGCGTGGCAGCGTCCCTAGGTGTACATGGCTGGTCCTCAGTGCTGCCAGGCAGGCTCAGGCTGGGAGCGCCGCTGTGTGGAGTCTGGAAGGGAGATGAGGCTCAGCCAAGGTGGGGAGTGGGGGGCACCCTGCTTCCCTGCACACCCCCAACCCAGTGGCCCTACATGCCAGCCCCCACCAGGCTCACCTTTCCTGGATCTGTCGCAGCCGGTGCTGCTGTGCCACCATCTCCCGCCTCTGTCGCTGCACGTGGCCCGTGAGGGCCCACAGGATGTGGCTCTGCTTGTCAGCACGGGCCTGTGGGGTCAAGACAGAAACCTCAGCTGGGGCTGCCTCACCTCCCATCCCTTGATCCTACCCAGCCCCCTCTCCTCATTGCATTTGTGTGACCCAGCACGTCACTGCCACTCTCAGGCCTCAGCTTCCCTAGCTGTAAAATGGGGAAGAAATGGGACTCACTTGGTAGCATTATGAGCATGATATGGATTATTAAAGGACACACAACAGTGCTGGGTACTTCCTGAACACGCAAGAAATGTTGCCAGTTTCTCTAAAAGTATGCATTTATTGAGTACCTAGCCTCTTCCTGGCCCCACGCTGAGTATCTTGTCTGCACTGAGTCCCTGACTCCACTCTGAGACATCAATTGTTGACCTTATTGCAAGTGGAGAAACTGAGACAGGGAAAGGGACGTGGGTTTCGCCCAGGGTCCCACCGGGTGCTGGGAAGCTGACCTGGGTGAGGGGGATCTCTGGGACTTGCTCTAAAAGCAGCTTCTGTGAGTCCCTGGCTCCACTCTGAGACATCAATTGTTGACTGTATTGCAAGTGGAGAAACTGAGACAGGGAAAGGGACATGGGTTTCGCCCGGGGTCCCACCGGGTGCTGGGAAGCTGACCTGGGTGAGGGGGATCTCTGGGACTTGCTCTAAAAGCAGCTTCTGACTGGGAAGCAGGGTCTCAACTCCCCCAGGACTGGGAGCCCCTTACCTTCAAAGCCTCGAATTCTTGATGGGCCCGGCCCAGCCAGGCACCTCTCAGCCGGACTTCCAGCTGTCGCATGTTCTCCCGCAGCACCTGCTGCCCCTGGGCCGCCTTCCCCAGCGCCCGGGCCGTGGCCTCTGCCTGCAGCTGCAGAGCATCCTCTTCCACCTGCAGAGCATCGATAGGGAGACGGTAACAGGATGACCAACTTGTCTTTGTTTGCCTGGGTCATGCCTGGTTTTAACACTGAAATTGCTATATTCCAGGAACCCCCCTCTTCCCGGGCAAACCCAGACAGTTGGTCACCCTACACATAACTCCAGGGCAGATCCTCACCCGCCCCAGGGGGTCAGAAAGCAGTGCTCACCTGCATCTCCCGCAAGCTTGCGCGTAGCTCCTGGGCCGCATCCCAGCCCTGGCTGACTTCCTGCCCCAGGAGCCCCAGGGCACGGCCGTACAGGCCTATGCTGTGCTGGGCCTCCATCAGCCGTGCATCCGTGGTCTTGTACACGCCATTGAGGGCCTGGCCCAGCTGCAGGGCCCCGTGGAAGAGCAGGGTCAGCTCCTCGTGCTGTGCCGGCTCCACGCTGCCCACGGGGGCCGCAGAGGCCGGCCAGACCATCGTCAGCAGGGAACACAGCAGACACAGAGCGAGCATGGCCGTGGCTGAGTGGCTGGAGGTGCGGTCACGGCGCCACTGCTGCCTTTTATGCCTCAGCGCCCCTTCAACCCCCGGTCAATCGTTAACCAGCCAGTCGGGTGTCTGTGTTGTGCAAGGGCCTGGCAGCGGTGCAATGGTTGCATCAGGCGAGCGTCCAGCGGGGCCATGCTGGAGTCACGCAGGCTGGGGCTGAGGCCAGGTGTGGGCTGGGGGCACTGGGGGAGGACAGGCCCAGGTGCTGGGGGACCAAGGAGCTCTGAGCTCTGGTTTCCCCGCCTGCAGACGGACACGGCAGTGACGGTAATAATAGTGAGGCCTTTATGAGTTTCCCCAGTTTGCTCAGAGCTGTGCCCTTGATGACAGTAACTGAGCACGTGCCCTTCCCACACGCCCCTGAGGCCGGCGTCTTTGTCGGCCTGGTTGAGAACCGGGGGAGTGGGTGCAGGTGGCAGAGACTCTGCCAAGGCCACACGGTCCGACTTCGAGACCCACACATGCCCCGGATCCATGCGAGCTGCCAATCTTTCCCCTGGGCAAGCGCCTCGCTCTCCTTGCCTGTGAAAGGGGGTGACATGAGTCTTGCCTCACAAGCTGCTTGTGAAAAGTAAATGAGCTGTTTCACGGTGAGTGCTTAACCGGAGCCTGGCACTCGGGTGCCCCCTCGGTGGTTGGTGCAATCATTGTCATGACTGTTACCGTCCTTGGTATTGTTACAGCGGCTCAGCTGGGAGGGTCGATGCCCCCATTACAGAGGCGGGGAAACGGAAGCCCAGAGGGAGGTCGGGGCTGGCACAGAGTCACCCCCGGGAGAGAGGCCGACCTCTGACCCCAGCCAAGCCCCTACGCCGGTTCCCGGCTCAGTTTTCCCACCTGAGAGACAAGCGATGTAACGAGGGGCCTCTCCTGGGGGAAGGGGTGGAAGGCCCCTGAGCGGGTGAGGGGCAGGTCAGCCCGGGCAGGGCTTATCCTGACCATGGGCCACCGGGGCCACCTTGGAACTCAGCCCTGAGCACCCATGTGGCCCCTGCCCTTGCCTCATTAGTGTCCCCAAAGGCCTCTGTGTTTCCACCTTCTGCCACAGTTTCCCTGTCTACGCTCCGAGGCTGCCCATCTGTCCCCAGCTCCCTGCCAGTCACATTTCCGAACTGTGCCCCTAATTGCCCCTCGCCCAGCCCTCGGTGCCTCGGCCGTGTGGCCGCTGTCCTGTGTCCCAGGCCAGGCTTGTTCCAGGAGCCCAGCCGCCTCTGTCCCTTTGACACCCCCTCCCCTGCCCCTGTCCCTACAGGAACCTGCTCTACGTGTACCCGCACAGCCTCAACTTCAGCAGCCGCCAGGGCTCCGTGCGCAACCTCACCGTGCGAGTGCAGTACATGGCGGGCGAGGACCCCAGCCAGGCCCTGCCGGTCAGTGGCTGGGCCCGGGAGAGGTGGGTGAGGTGTCCCTTCCCGGCCCCTCATGGCCCTGCTCCCCCAGGTCATCTTTGGCAAGTCCAGCTGCAGCGAATTCACCCGGGAGGCCTTCACGCCGGTGGTCTACCACAACCAGGGGCACTGGTGGGGGGACAGCAGCAGGAAGAGGGGAGGGAAGGGCAGGTTCCAGAAATGCTAGTGGGGGAACCCGAGGCAGAGAGCAGAGACAGTGGGGTCTGCAGCTCTGGGGGGACACGTGACCGGGGGGTTGGGGCAGACCAGTGGGGTCCCCGTCCCCTGAACGCCAGCCCGGCCCTGCCAGGTCCCCTGAGTTCTATGAGGAGTTCAAGCTGCATCTTCCAGCCTGTGTGACCGAGAACCACCACCTGCTCTTCACCTTCTACCACGTCAGCTGCCAGCCCCGGCCTGGCACAGCCCTGGAGACTCCCGTGGGCTTCACGGTGAGGCCCCCCACCAGCCTGCCTCCCCCTCCCCAGCCCGCCTGGCCCCTGCCCGGTCCTCCCCTGACCCCCAGCCTCTTCCTAGTGGATCCCACTGCTGCAGCACGGCCGCCTGAGGACCGGCCCCTTCTGCCTCCCCGTGTCCGTGGACCAGCCCCCGCCCAGCCCCTGCCCTCCTCCCCTGACCCCCAGCCTCTTCCTAGTGGATCCCACTGCTGCAGCACGGCCGCCTGAGGACCGGCCCCTTCTGCCTCCCCGTGTCCGTGGACCAGCCCCCGCCCAGCTACTCCGTGCTCACACCTGACGTAAGTGCTCTGGCCCCGTGCCTCCCACCGCCCTGGTCCCCGAGGCTCCCTGGGCTCCTGCCTCGCGGTCCCCCGGGAATGCATTGCCCACCTTCCCTACTTTCCTGGTGGTTCCCCATTCGTGCCCTGCCTTCCTTGCCGTCAGCACCTCTGGGAGCCGTGTTGTCCTCTGTCAGGGCCAGGGCCCCGGGCTGCCTCCTCACTCCTGCTCTTGCCTCTGTGTGTCCTATGGCCCCTGTGTCCCTCCCTGTCCCCTCCTACCCCTGCCTCCTAGTGCCCCTGCCTCTCCACTCACTGTCCCCCCCTAGCAACCCTGCCCACCTTCCTGATCACTGTCCCCCAGGAGTACTTCAGGGCCAATCATCCCCACCCCCTCCGTGAATACTCCGTCACCCTCACGCAGTTCACTCGTGCCCCTGGGGCCTCCATCTTGCATGATCCTATTTTCTGATTCATTCCCTTCCATTGATGTTCATCTTGGGTCTCCAGTGGAACCCCACAGTGCTCCCTCCTAACTGCCCTCACCCCCATCTCTGGGCTGGGCTGGGGGCAGGGTGCCCAGCTGCTCCCCCAGGCAGGGCCGTGCTGAGGCTGTGGTGTTGCAATCGTTGAAATGCCTGGAGCCGGTGGCCTGACCAGTGGGGGAGGGCCAGTCAGTGCCCACAGGTGTGTCCCTCCCACAGGTGGCGCTGCCGGGCATGCGCTGGGTGGACGGCCACAAGGGCGTGTTCAGCGTGGAGCTCATGGCTGTGTCCTCCGTGCACCCCCAGGTAGGTGTTAGGACAGGAACCAGGAGTTGGGCAACAGTTCCCACTGACCGGGGAGAGGCCTGGCCTCGGGCCATGGACAGACTTCAGTCAGCTGGACCTGTCTCCCAGGAGGCTGCTGACTCAGGCAGGGAGCCGTGCCAGTGGCTCCCCCAGCCAGGGCGTTGGCCCTTTGCACGGCCTCTCCTCCCCCCATCTGTCCCCTGCTATTTCGGTGGTTCCTTCCCCCCTCTCCTCCCTCCCTTCCTCTAGTGCAGTGGTTCTCAACCTTCCTGATGCCGCGACCCTTGAATACAGTTCCTCATGTTGTGGTGACCCCCAACCATAAAATTATTTTCGTTGCTACTTCATAACTGCAATTTTGCTACTGTTATGAATCGTCATGTAACTATCTGATATGCAGGATGTATTTTCATTGTTACAAATTGAACATAATTAAAGCATAGTGATTAATCACAAAAACAATATGTAATTATATATGTGTTTTCCGATGGTCTTAGGCGAACCCTGTGAAAGGGTTGTTCGACCCCCAAAGGGGTCGAGACCCACAGGTTGAGAACCGCTGCTTTAGTGTCTCATCCCTGTCCTTATTTATTATCAATTCATTGATCCCCGGCCTTAGTGCCTCTGCCCATTCAGCCCCCAACTCAATCCCCTGGGGCTTCCTGGACCAGGGCCCTGGCCCCTTCCCACTCACCCCAGCCCCCCCGCCCAGGACCCATACCTGGACAAGTTCTTCACCCTGGTGCATGTCCTGGAGGAGGGCGCCTTCCCGTTCCGGCTCAAGGACGGCGTGCTGAGCGAGAGCACTGTGGAGCAGGAGCTGCGGGCCAGCCTGGCGGCCCTACGCCTCGCAAGCCCCGAGTTCCTCGTTGCCTTCTCTCACCACGTGCTGGACAAGCTCGTACGTCTGGTCGTGCGGCCCCCTATCATCGGCGGCCAGATCGGTGAGCAGGCACGGCCTCGGACCTCAGTTTCCCCACCTGGAAAATGGCCCCTCAGTCCCCTGGGCCTGGGTGACTTCCTCTAGCCCATTTATCTCTCTGGCCTCCGTTTTCCCATCTGGAAAGTGACCTCAGCCCACTGAGCTGAGAGCTGGTCTCCTGTGACCCTTCGATGGCCACATGACCCCTTGGACCCTAAAGTCTCTCTCAGGGAGGTAGGAGGCCCTGGGCCCTGGAATTTGACCTCTGCTCTGCCCGGCAGTGAACCTGGGCCGTGGAGCTTTTGAAGCAATGGCCCATGTAGTCAGCCTCATCCATCGGAGTCTAGAGGCTGCCCAGGACGCCCGCGGTCACTGCCTACTGCTGGCGGCCTATGTCTACTATGCCTTCCGACTGCCTGGCACGGAGCCCGGCCTCCTGGGTGGTGAGTATTGGTGGGAGAATCTGGGGGACAGGCAATATCTGGGAGGAGAGCATCCTAGACAAAGGGAACGGCATGTACACAGGTTCTGAGGCCACACAGGCCTCGGTTGGTCTGGACAGCTTGCAAGTTTTGCTCCACCCCCGGGGTCTGGTATCTGCCTGCTTGCTGGCAGGTGACTCAGCCAATCAGCCAGCAGGGACTCAAGCAGGGCCCTCCTACAAGCTCTATAACTTGGGCAAGTGACTTCACCTCTCTGAGCTTGTTTTCCCGTTTGTAAAACATCAATAAAGTGCCCCGCGTTCCTGGGGGTGCTGGTAATAGGAGATGACATGGTAACCCATGCAAAATGCTTGGTACAGTGGGTACTCAATCAAGTCGGATGTTTTTCTCATTTGCTCAATAACTAATAGGAACCACTCCCTTCTCTGGGCACTTACTATGTGCCAGGCACTGTGCTCGGTGTTTTTTAGTCTCCCCCAAAATTGTTATGAGGCAGCAGCCATTCTCACACTCATTTTACAGGCGAGGCACCTCGAGGCTCATAACAAGAAAATGACTTCACCAAAGGCAGCCCGCTGGGAAGGGGTAGGTCATCAGGGTGGTAGGCAGGTGGTGACCGTATTCCCTCCCTGCTCAGGGGCCCCTCCGGTGGCAGTGCAGCCTGCCACGCTGGCCCGTGGCCCCGGCCGCCCTGCCAGCCTCTACCTGGCTCGCTCTAAGAGCATCAGCAGCAGCAACCCTGACCTGGCCGTGGCCCCTGGCTCTGTGGACGACGAGGTCTCCCGCATCTTGGCCAGCAAGGTAGGGCAAGGGGGATCCTGGAGCCTCCGGCCTCAGT